CCCTGGGTGGACCTGAGTGAGCCATTGCCTCCCATATTGTATCCATGTCTGCTAGCTCACCCAGTGCTCCAGCCAGGAAGTGGGATTGGAGCATGAGGTCTTACTCCACTCCACCTGAGGAGGTAGTCAGGGAAAGGGGCCAGGGCACCGAGGCTTATTCAGCTCCACACCAAAGCTCCAGATGGGGAGCAGGGTTGGGGCACCAAAGCCTACCCCGCTCTGCCCCGACACTCCAGCCAGGGAGCAGGACTGGGGCTTACCCCGATATTCCCCCTTTCCCGCTCTTCTCACCCCCCATATTTGCCCACACACCCAAAGTCAGGGCCCACCCAGGTGGGTCCTTCAGGCTATGCCACCGAAGTTAACAGTCAAGCAGATAACAATGATTCAAGAGACAAAAGGACCATATATCTATCCCAGCTAAGTTAGCTTCTCCAGTACTGCATTCTGCCCATATTCCTCGATGAATAGCAAACCCATTCCTACAGCACTCTTTTGGGCTGGTATCTCTGATGCTATTTGTCGCATGTGGGAAGTGTCACGTGGAACACAGCAGTGCTGAACAGGCAATATTTGCACTCCTGTGCAGGCTCCACTATTCTTGGAAATATTAATGGAAGGAGATGGGCTCTCTAGGTCAGGCACAACAGCCCTTTTTAAAATGTTTATTTTTTTACGTCTTTCAGCTCAGAAAGAGTGAGGGCGATCAGATGCTGACAGGTGAGGAAGAACAGATAGTGCTAGAAAAAAGCAGAAGGAAAAAAAGCAGCAAAAAGCTGGATAAAGACATGGGAGAAAGGATGGGAAAAACACTCTCCTTTTCCACTTATTTAAAGGCCAGAGCTATGTTCCAGTCCTGTGTTATATTGCCCTTCCATTTTACCCCTATCCTCTGAGCCTCTGGCAACCTTCATAGCTAAACAGCAGCAAAAGTTTTCAAGTAACTGCAGATATTTCAATAGTTCCTTTTATCTGAACTGTATGATGAAAATAGGTATTTTAATAAAAAAAAGTTTTAATTATCAGTGGTAATCATAGCAAGATTGACGTCTGTATTACTGGCATATTTATGCATTGCTTTCATGGAAGAACTGGCTTGATAGACTATGGCAAATATAATTCTAGTTTTAGTAATACAGTAATTTTCTTCAAAGTATCATTCACGTAAGGAGAATTATTTGAAAACATCTTTGTTATAGGAATGCCTGATAAGAAGTTAACAAGTTTTATTTTTCTATTACAGTCAACTTTCCAGATGGTACAGCTGACAGCATATGCAGAAATTGATACACATAACCCAGAATTATTTGTAATTGGAGAGAATATTCTAACTGTGAGTGTTGTCCAATGGAAGTATTTCCTTTCATTATATTTTACTGTACCTAAAGGCTAATATTTGATTTTTAGTGTCACTAGGAGTGTGTGGCAAAGCACAGAAAATCTATTGCTTTGCTTGAATATGTTAAATTGGTTTTATTCAACTAGTCTATTTTAGAGTGTTGAAAATGTCAATTTCAACTGGCTAGTGTTTCTACAAATACTGTTCAATTAATTTAGATGAATTTGCACACTTGAATTTTGTTGTGAATAAATCTAAAACTAGTAGCAAACCTCAATAGAAATCTCTGAGGTTAACTGGTTTCATGTAAAAAATGTCTAATTTTGCACTAGTTTTGCTATAAAACAATACATTGATCTGGATTCATGAACTTAAGGTAACATTTCAGCAAATGCCATCTGAGTTTTAATTTCTGTTTGCATGGGTGCAATGTTCACACAGTAGTAATAATGATCAAAATCACATCTACATCATTACATGTTGCAGTGTATTCTCCAATTTAAAATGGATGTAATATGGGCATATTTAACTTTCTAGCGACTTTTATCTTAAATACTCTGGTTGAGTGTTTCCCTCCAAGGATTTCATTCCTTAAAATTCAAATTTAAATAGTGCTGGAAAAATGTTTTGTTAAAACAATACCCTTAGAATACAAACAAAAACATCTCCTTCCCTTGGACTGGGTATGGATTGACATTACTTCATTTGGAAGACTGGTTTTGTATTTCTTTTTAGAGAATTTAGTAGCCTCTCTGATCAAACAGTAATCTGTTTTAAGGCCTTTGGGGATCAGAATGCAACTCAAGTAACAAGCTAATAAGGGAGTGAGATTTATAATGTGCATCAGTACCCAGTTGCAGCTAATGGAAAATCTAATTGAATATGTACTAGGGCAATTATTGATTGACCTATCTCCAAGTGGAAATAAGGACACAACATAGTACTATTTTGTCATCAGTGTTCCCATGGAACATTGAACTTTGTAAAGAGATTCTAAATGGGCCCATTTGTACTCAGGCTTATATTCAGCTCCTGGAGAACAGTTGAAAAGAAGAGAGAGTATGTTTGTAGGTTTGGCAGAATTCCATACTACCCCCCAAAAAGATGCAGTGTTTGGACTGGCATGATACTTGGAGTGTCGTATATCAAGTATATCTCACATGACTTTCTCTTTGTTGTTTCCCCACTTTTAATGCTTATATTTTAAGTTTCAGAGGGGTAGCCATGTTAGTTTTTACCTGCAAAAACAATGAGTCCTGTGGTACACCTTAAAGACTAGTAGATGTATTTGGGCATAAGGATTCGTGGATAATAACCACTTTGTCAGAATCATGGGCTAATATTTTAGTTATACCAGTAAAACAAGATTATGAAGCTTACCCTATAAAATGTTATTTATGATTAAGAAATTAATCCTGCATAAATGTACATTTCTTGTGCCTCTACAGTAATCTTTTATATATTCTTCATTATAAGCCTTTGATCCACAATTGAGCTGTAAGAGGTTCAGAGTTATAGCAGCATGTTTTCAACAGTTATTGTGTGCAGAATGAATACTGAAAGTGTATATGTGTATCCCTCGCTTTTTAGCAATTCTAGATCACTTGAAAATAGTCACATCTGGTTCTCTCAGGCTACATTTACACTGCTGGCTTCTTGCGCAAGAAGCTTTTTGTGGAAGATATCTTCCACAAACTTCTTGCGCAAGAGTACATCCACATTACAATGTGCTTTTGTGCAATAGCGTCCAGACTGCACGGACATTCTCTCAAAAGAAAGCTCTGATTGCTATTCACAGAATAGCCACCAGAGCACCTGTGCTTTTTTTGAGTGGCGCTTTTTGCGCAAAAAACCCTATTGCCCACCAACACATCTTTTTGCACAAACTCTTGCACAAACAGGAGTTATTCCTGTTATACACCACAAAAACCCCTCTGTTCTTTTGATTTACTGTAAATTTACTTGTGCAAAAACATGCTTGAGGTGTGGACGCTCTGCAGGTTTTTGCACAAAACCCCTGTAGTGTAGACGTAGCCTCAGGATGAAATTCTGCTCCCACTGAAATCAGTGAGAGTTTTGACACTGACTTGAATGGTTCACATCACTGGTATGATTTGGTCTATGATTGTTTGTTCTGCTGTGGGGTGGGGGGGAGGGAGATGTTACTTTGAAGTATTTATATTTCAAATAACTTTTCTTCCAAGTAAACTGGACCCTTAAGTCCCTTTGCCACCAGAGGTTTATATGTAAATTCAGATTTCCATCATCTTTCCTTTACCTCTCAAATTTTCCCCTTTCCACATCAGATGGTAGCATGCCTGGCTGAGAATCCCTTCTCAAATAACTTAAAATTTGTATGAGGTAATATGTTTAGATACTTCAGGCATCTTACACACCCCACCCTTACTCCCTTCTGCTACCATGCAAACTGGGCCACAACTTGGCTCTGAGTGCCATATTCATGTAGTGACTTCCCAAAGGTTGGATCTTCCTTTTAAATATGTAACAGTAACAGCTATTCCTCTACTGAAAATTAGAGAACCTTGCTTTTCAGAATAAATGGAATGCTGTCTATGAGTAATTGGGTGGAGAAGCTTTTTAGATGTATGTGGTATAAGAAATCTTCAAATTTTTTCCAGTTAGAAAAGACTGCCAGTTGGAGAATAAAGTACGGAAATTTACCTGCTAAAATCATTATTGTGGCTGTTCAGTTATAAAATGCATGAAGACTGTTGCAGTGAAATGGATACGCATAGCTACATTTAACACAATAACAGGTTCCAATGGTAAATCACTGATGTGTTAGAGTGAGTTTCCCAGAAAGCCAGAGACTACATTTTATCAGACAAAGCTGAGAACAACCAACCCTGAAAAAATGCATTGCTATCGTTTATCCAGTTTCACAGCAAGCAAAACTCATTGCCATTATCTCTCGTTATACACACAACTCCTGACATCTAAAAATTAAAATGTGTGTCCAAAAAGTTTAAAGTTCCAGAAACTTGCAAGTAGTATTAACAAGATGGGAAGTTTATAAGCCTAAGGTGTATAGGTCTAGAAGTATCCATCCAAGTTTGTAATCACACTTAACCCATGTACAGCTAACTAGATGCTTGGTGGCTGTTGCCTGGAAATGCATTAATTTCCAGTCATTTTGGAACTGCCGGATTCAAATAGTAGGAGATATTCTGACCAGTGGGAAGCATGGCTGTGTCTAGGAACTCAAGAGAGAGAGAGCTGTTCCCAGCACAATTCTACCTTTTCTGTCCTTTCAACTTGACCCATCTCTTCTTGCTGCCACTACCTCAGGTGAAGAACTGGCAGTGGAAACCTATCTAACATTAAGGGCAGGGGAAAACAAGTACAGATTTTGGAGTAGTTTGAAGTAGGGTGTTAGGACCTGCAGGGCAAGAGCAGGAAACCATTGGTCTGCTGGGGTAGGAGGATGGTTCAAGGTGAGTATGTGTCAACTTTATTGTGTGTGAGTGAATAATGTTGCCTTTTTGGGTACCACTGGCTACTACAGTTTAGGCTAGTTTTCTTTTAGCTGAAGTATCAGAGGCCTTTGTTCTGTGATGATGAAGGACCAGTACTGTCCCAGTCCTAGTCCTAGCCCCAAGTCTGTCTTTGCGGATACATAAAAAAATAACAAATGGTCTGGTAGCACTTTATAGACTAACGAAACATGTAGATGATATCATGAGCTTTTGTGGGCACAGCCAACTTCTTCAGATGACCAGAATTATGAGTTGGGGATATGAAAACTCAAAATAAATAGGGGAGGGGAAGAGGAGTGGGGAGAGAGAGAAAAAGGGAGGGGGTGGGAGACAGAGCATCATTAAGTATCTGGTGAATAGGTACTGAAACCTAAGCAGATAAAAATCAAAGTCAATAGATAGATTCCTAAAACAGTAAGGCTGTGTCTACACTGCACCCCTTTTCCGGAAAAGGGATGTAGATGAGACAAGTCGGAATTGCAAATGAAGCGGGGGATTTAAATTTTCCCCGCTTCATTTGTATAAACACGGCTGCCGCTTTTTTCTGGCTCGGGGCTTTGCCAGAAAAAAGTGCCAGTCTAGCCAGGGATCTTTCAGAAAATAAAGCCTTTTCTGAAAGGTCCCTTATTCCTCTTAAAATCAGGAATAAGGGACCTTTCGGAAAAGGCTTTATTTTCTGAAAGATCCCCGTCTAGACTGGCACTTTTTTCCGGCAAAGCTCTGAGCCAGAAAAAAGCGGCAGCCATGTTTATACAAATGAAGTGGGGAAAATTTTAAATCCCCTGCTTCATTTGCAATTCCGACTTGTCTCATCTACATCCCTTTTCCGGAAAAGGGGTGCAGTGTAGACACAGACTCTGGATACTACTCAGGGAGCTGTTAGCACCTTCATTGGTTATTAAGTAGGTAGAGTCCCCACCAGCCCTTATCACGATTGAGTCTATTAGCATGTGAATTGAATCTGTGGATGAACTGGGATTCCAGTGCTTCTGTGTATTTGGCTTGTAGAGCTTGTTTGTGACAAGATAGCTACTTGCAGTTCTGTCAGACTGTTGTTAGGCAAGTTGAAATGCTCACCAACAGTTTTCTGTATATTCCTTTTATGTATATCCGATTTGTGTCCATTGATTCTTTCTTGCAGAGACCGTCCAGTTTGTCCAATATATAAAGCAGTGGGGCATTGCTGGCATTTGATGGCATAGATCAAATTACTGGATGTACAGTCAAATGACCTTTGATTTTGTGGCTTATGTTGTTTGCTCCAGTGATGAATTCGCCAGTGTAGAAATGTGGGCAGAGTTAGCATAGTTTTTGGTTGCAGGGCTGGGTTCCTGGAGGTTTATTATATGGTTGTGTGGCATGGTTATCAGAAAGATTAAGTTTCAGGTTAGGGAGTTGTCTGTAAGCAAGAATAGGTTTTTCTCCTAAGGCCTCTGAGAGTGAGGGATCATTTTCCAATATGGGTTGTAGATTGTGTATAATGAGTTGGAGGGGTCTGAGTTGTGGACTGTAGGTAACGACAAGAAGAGTTCGGTTATTTTCTTTTGGGTCTGTCTTGAAGTAGTTCATAACTGGGTATTTTTTTGGCTCTGTCAATCTGTTTTTTCACTTCCCCAAGCGGGTATTTCAGTTTTAGGAATGCTCTGTAAAGATTCTGTAGGTGATTGTCTCTGTCTGTGGGGTCAGAGCAAATCCGGTTGTATTGTAGGGCTTGGCCATATACAATCGACTGAAAAATGTGTCTGGGATGGAAGCTGGAAGCATGAAGTATAGTGTAGTGGTCGGTAGGTTTCCGGTATAGGGTGTTGGAAATGTGTCCATTATTTAACTGTACTGTAGTGTCCAGGAAGTGGATTTACCTTGTGGTCTGGTCCAGGCTGAGGCTGATAGTAGGGTGGAAGTTGTTGAAATCGTTGTGGAAATCTTCAAGAGTCTCTTTACCGTAGGTCCATATGATGAAGATGTCATCAATGTAGCATAAGTAAAGTACGAGTGTTAGGAGGTGAGAGCTGAGGAAATGTTGTTCAAGGTCAGCCATAAAGATGTTTGCTACAGTACAGTTAAATAATGGACAAATTTCCAGTTTTCATATCCTGAGTTTTCATATCCCCAACTCATAACTTGGGTCATCCGAAGAAGTGGGCTGTGCCCACGAAAGCTCATGATACCGTCTACATGTTTCATTAGTCTATAAAGTACTACCAGACCATTTGTTGCTTTTTCTGTAACAGACTAACTCAGCTTTTCCCTGAAGTTTTGTGGATACATGTGATTTATCTAGCAATGGCTTCTGCATTGATGTATTCACTATGGAAGGAGAAGAGACTAGTCTTCCTCTTTGTTTTGTGGAATCTGCAGAGGACCATCTTGTACTTATGTATTTGTACAACACTAACATATGTAGCTGTGGTTCCTAAGCACCACCAGAATGCAAATACCTATTAGTAACAATAAGGAGTAGTAACTGAGTATATCAGACAGTAATAATTCTGGTGCAGCCCTCCATCTTTTCACTGGAGAATCTGCACAGCTATTAATAAAAGAACAGGATTAGAACAACTTGTTTAATGTTGTAAATATTTTATTTGTCATGTATCCACAATTTGCTGACAGATCCCAGTGACAATAATGAAGCCTGAGGAGAAAGCAGAGGTACCAACTGGAGTTGTAATAGGAAGTATACTGGCAGGACTCCTGTTGCTGTTAGCACTGGTTGCTGTTTTATGGAAGGTAAGTAGATATTTATCTCTTTTTAAAAGGAAACTGCCAGAATATATCAGGTAGGAATTACTGTGTAATAATGCCAAATAATCATTTATCTGCCACTTGGTGAGAAAAATATTTTTATTAGTACAGTAAACTTCCGATAATCCGGCACCTTTGGGACCCAGGGGGTGCCAGATTATCAGATATGCCGGACTATCGGAACGGGGGGCTATGAGGGGTCTGGGGTGGGAGGGATGCCACCCCAAACCCCTCATAGCCCCCCCTTCCGATAGTCCGGCTCTGCCCCAGGCATCCCTGATTCAGCCGCTGCTGAAACTGACCAGCAGCAGCTGAATCGGAGATGCCTGGGGCAGAGCAGCTGGAATGAGGGGGGGTGGGTCGGGGTAATGCCGACCCTTGGCGTGGCGACAACCAG